ACGCCACTACGATCACGCGAAACGATAGCCGAGAGTCTTTGCACAAAGTGAATAAAAAAAATAATGTATGCAGGTCTGACGGTGGCGGCAAAGTCTCGAATTACTCGTCAACATCGGCCGGAATATTTCTTGCGTTTTTGCGCCTTATGCTCCGATATCTCGACCACCGTGCGAGGAGAGCATAAACAACGAGTTCAGGCCGGTAGTGCAGCATGCCGCACAAGAAAAAACCACCAGGTGCAGTGGTTCACCAAAGTACATATTTGAACAAATATTCGAAGATTTTCATGTGCATGCTCTGCGCACATTTTGAAATTTTATTAACACTGTAACGCGAGACACGATCACCATCGATTGATTGTATTAGCTAAACTTGAAAATATCTTCAAGATGCGTGTATTTGCTGTGCTCGTCTACAGAAAGCCTATCGAAAAGCCCACCTCCGTGATAGACTGAGTTTCAAAATAATAGATACGCGGCACGCACCGCGTACGGGCGTGTAATTTCCCGTGATTTACCATATTATGCAATTATGTTAGGTAAAAATGTCTCGTAAGACTCAATTTGGAACGAACCGTTAATGTTTAATATTCGTATGGTCTTTCGAAACTCCAATGTCAATTTTCGATTGAATTATTATTTTTTTTTTTTTTATCTTTTTTTAGAAGCCGAAAATTTACGATAGTCTTTGAAATATTATCTGAACTCATTATACGTAACGTAAATTTCGATATAAATAACGAGGTAATTTGTATCAACAACTCACGATTTAAGGGCTAAAAATACTAGCGTCATGTAGTAACACTATACTTGAAGATCTCTCGAACTAAACGATAAATATTTAGTTGTTCTAGAAACTATTTCCAATTTTAGCGTATTCCTAATTTTAACGTATTATGTTTTTCTTACAAAAAAAAAAAAAAAATCACACGAAAAGTATCTTTGGTATGAAAAATTCTACGGTAGCGTCGTGTAATAACATTACACTTGGAGATCTCTCGAATTAAACGACAAATTTATTTGCTCAACTATTTCTAATTTTAGTACTCCAAATTCCTAAAACTATTTCTAATTTTAACGTTATGTTTCTTACAAAAAAAAATCACACGAAATATATCTTTGCTATGCAAAATAAAAATTATTCTGCATAATTCGACCTCGGTTAACGCAAACAAATAGGATACGATAAATCTATAAATTAATCTGCTTCCACGGAATAAAGAACGTCATTTGTACACAGGAACATTGGAGCATTCAAGGTCTAATCGGAGCAAGTTGTAACCTTCTTAGCTACTAAACGCGCCACGATAAAACGAGTAAACAGATTCGTGCAATTGGCAATGAAGCATAAACAACCGCTGTCCGAATCGTCGCGTCGCGCGAAAGGCAAAGATACGTGTAAGAACGCGACGCATATTATCGACATACACGACATGTACATAAATATATATCTAGAATGGAAATATGCCATAAGTGGAGTCATTTCGGAGAAACAGAAACGACGGGCGCAAGAGCGATTCACAGGAGTGCAGCGTGTTCCTTTTCAAAAACTCGTTGGAGCGCGCGTTCGACAGATTTCGCAGACGAAATGTCGTCACGGGACGAAAGTGGTCGGGCGACAACGAGATACGAGGGGATAGGCGATCGAACGATCGTCGAAGGAGTGACAGAAAGGAGAAAGAAGGCTACGAGAGTATGTGCGCTCACCTCGGTAGCGGCGTTGCATCCCGCGAGAATGACGGCCGTACTGATCAGAATCCAGTATATCCTCGGTTGCATCTTGCCCTTTGTAATTGCCGCTGGGCCCATCCAAGAGCCCCCTGACCGATCACGGCGTCGACTCTGCGAAACCAAACGAAAAGAAATACGCGTACGTTTCAGCCAGGAAGAAACCACCAAAAAAATCCACCGGAGCAACAACGCGACACACACCACACTGATCGATGAACCGCGAGACACTGAGGGCGCGTCGATCGGACTTTCGTCGCCGAGCTGCCGCCATTTTGAAGGATGCATGGGCGCCCCACAGTGGCCGACACCGGAAAGCTGCTTTCCTGTGAAACTACCGCTGTGCTACGACATTGCGCGAACTATTTGAATTTTGCACGTTTAAAAACACGTTTTTAATAAACGTTCTAAAAGAAGAAATATGAAACACAAAGTGTTAGATAAGTCGATTAGCATTAAGATGTTGAACTGTGCAATAAGTGTGTTGATGTAAGTCTGATAATCAATGACGTATATAATTTTGTTCTATAGAAGACTGAAAAATTACAACGGATGTGAATCGATCCACTGCTAATTTTATAAAAGAACGTTTTGTTTTTGTAATTTATTATTATAAAAATTCATTACATTCTCTCAATTATCCATTATTTCAAAATCTAACTATTAATATAATACTTTATACTTTTATAATTATTATATTTTATTATAATATAATACTTTATTTTAATTATTATATAAATTATACTATTATACTATATTTATGTTACTTGTCTTGTCAACGTATGTCCGTTGCGTATAACGTAACATTTTAAATTTAATACGTACGCATTATAAATAAAAATTAATGATAATGTGAAATTAATGAAAATGAGAATCTGATTGTCAATCTTCTTTTGTTTTTCATTTTTAGCTATGGTGGTGTAAAGTGTAGAAAGTGGTAATGAAACTTAGAAAGAATAATGGCCGGGAAAATTACACAATGACACCATAGTGGTGAGTTTCATCTTTAACTAAATATTTGTCTTGCAGAAAAACGATAAGTTTTGAAATAAAAATTGAAAGAGTAATCACTGTTTATCGTTCGACCATTTTTTAATCATAAGATATAAAAAGTTTGACTTACATTTTCTTTTTTCTCTAATATGATATTTTGAACTTTAACAAATATCATTAGCGACTAATTACAATGTCTCACGTTTTTTTGGAAAAAAATATCTATCAATATAAAAAAACTATTTCTTATCGCTCGCAGACAAATCTTTCTCAAGACCTTTTAAAAATCGAAGATTTTCGTTGATAGTGCGATTATATTCTTCAATTTTATTACGCATCGTTGTTACTTCTTCTTGCATGCATTTCACTTCCTCTTGCATTTTTTGTTTCAACAGCTCGAGCAATTCTTTATCCTGAGAAGCATACAGACAAATGTTTCGTTATTGCATATAACTCTTTATCTTTATAATTGCTTTGTACATTCCTTAAAAATATTACCTGTTTGTAATAATACTCAGCTTCGTATGCAATGTCGTTGTTTGAAGTTTTATTTCTGTTAGAGTCACTGTATTTCCTTATTAAATAGCTAGATTTGTTAGAACTGTCGTGTTATTTTGAAAATGTTGATCTAACCACTAAGTACAATCGAACTAGTTTAGTAATTTTTAAATATCATACTTACCAGCTTTTCTCGGACAATAATCTTCGTAAAATATATCGAAACATGGTTTTTGAGTTTTTAATGTCATTAATTTAAAAAAAAAAAGGATTCTTCTGTAGAATTGAACGGTACAGAAATTTTGTGACTTTCTGTCACAAACAGTGAAACATTTGAATACAAACACTATCGAAAAATAATCGAGATAATTGACGTGTATTGATAACAATTTTATCTCAGAATGTACGAATAAGCTTTACTATTGCATAAATACGAGAAAATAATTAATTTGTTGCTTTTATTATATATATATATATATATTACTCTATATATTATATATGATATTTTGCAGTTTAAAAAAAAATACAGACATAAATGTCTACTATAATTACTATTAGTAATATTATAACAGTTTCATCATTAGAAAGAGTAACATCACGCTTAGAAAGTAAGTATATTGTATAGAATGAATTAGTTTATTTCTCATCCATATCTGTGATTCTTTGTTTGTGACGGTTTATGGCCTCTTGATGGCGTTTGATTTGTTCTTCATGAAAAGAGATTTCGTCATGCAGGTCCTCTTTAAGTTTTTGAAGTTGTTCTTTTTGCTAAAAGTAAATATTTATATTTGTAAATAAATCTTTTCAAGTAATTATATGATATAGGAAAGATGATTACAAACTATGATGTATAAAAACATAATGGTTAAATATTTAAGAAATGTTACAAACACCATAAGAATTCAATTAGTGCCAAGAAATTGAAGCAACTAACCATGTTATAAAAATATTGATCTTCATGAGCTGCTTCCATTTTTCCAAAAGATCCACCAGCTTCACGGATAGTTCCACCACCGCCACCTCCTTTCCCAGCTCCAGATCCACGTTCACCAGCCATTCTTATTTGGCTGTAATGATCAAATGATTGAATTTTAATTAGCTTTCTAGATTGATAGTGCCAAAAAAGAAGAAACTGTGACGCAATAGCAAAAGCTAAAAATATACAGTATCCATTTATATCACAAATACAATTGGACAGTTGAATACAAAACATCATTGTAGAACATACTGAGCCAAAAATACTATAATTACAATACAAAATAACAGAAACAATATTAAAAGAAATATATTATGAAAGTATTTCAATAAGAACACAAACTATTGCAGACTATTACATAAGTTAAGTACATACATCAGCAAGCCAACAATTCTCTAGAAACTTATTACAATTTACTAAAGGAATATATCTCAATTAATTGATTCGACAAGTGGTTTGCTTTTTAGTTAATATTTTGTGAACAGATGAAAAAAATTAGAATAAAATTTCGCCTTTAACTATGCATGTGCAAAAGCCGGGGTCGGCTTAAGCTATGAAGAAGAAGGAAATCTATATAGTTAACGTTAATCATCTCTATGGAAAGCATTCTTTTGTACCTTAGCGAAGCCATATTTCGAGAAAACGTAATAATAGCTCGTTGCATTATTCTCTGAGTAAGAATTTCAAAGCGTAGCAAGTGTTCAAGATTCTACTGGAAACCATATACTACTACGAGAAGGGGAACATCACACTGTGGTCATGTTGCTCCAGTAGGATATCCGCGAGATGGCTGTCCTGTCATTTGGCGGCAATATTAATTCAATTTTTTTATAGAATTAAAATATTTTCAGCTTTTATCACAATTTAAGCGTGAAAATTTGAATTGTCAATGCATACGATAGATAACAGATAATTAAAACTGTATCATTACAAGTGTTTTACAATATAGCCATATAATCGAAGATTTTAGCCTTTCTATACGAGAGAAAGAAATTGTTCATTTTTTACAATTGTTTTTATAGTTAAAATTCACTTCATATACGAAGGAAAAGATGTTTAAATCAATTCTAACGAATTTTGTTCATATCTCTTGAAACTCAGAAGCTGCCAAAATTTTTTATTTAAGAAATAAGTGTAGAAAATATATTGTTGTCATTAAACATAAAAGTGTTAAATGAGTTTCAAGCTTATTAATATCTTCCACAATTATACCTTGATGATATATACAAAATTTTATCTTTAAGTCCTTTATATGATTGAATTAATATCACCAATAAGACTTTTATTAATATATTGTTAGTAAATCTTACAAGTTTCCAGAGTTAACAAGTTTTTTTTGGCAGTAACAACTATAGTAATAAAGCAAATGAAATCTCACAAGAAGTAAATTCTATAAATTTTAAAATGATACTGTTTCACAATTTACTACGATTTCTAATTCGCCAATTCGCTAATATTATAATATTGATTGATAAATCGCGCAAAACGGTCCAGTTTTTAATACATGTACTATGATATATTATTAATTATAGTATTATATTACCTATAATATTCGGCGGTTTGGTTTTGAATCAACTGTCTCTTAATCTCCGAAGTCTTCAACTCGTTAATCGCTGTCTGTTTCTGTAACTCTGCTCGTTCCAATTCAATATTCAACATCCTCAGCTTTAACTCATGCTCCCTCTGAGCCAATTCGAACATCCATGTTGCTTTCTGAACAGATTCAACTTGTTCATCATCAATCCTATCGTTCCTTTCCTTCACGTTTGGTAAGGATACACCATCTTGTGTTAAGAAACAAACGAAATTACATCAAATTAATATCACCGATTCTACACGTTCGCATTTTGTTTTCGCACTTTATCTTACATATTTTTTTTTCTTTTTTTTTGATTTCACTAAAATTTACGGCATTTAATTTTATTGCGTATTTTATATTTTTCTTCAATTCGAAATAAAATTAAGACTTCTAAAATTGAGTTATATAATTTAGTTTTAAATTCTTAAATTATCATGGTCCTCAATGGAGCCTAATAATATCAGTTAAGAAGTAAATTATTTAATTATATTGTAGATTATATCATATGATATTATATTCATATATCATATAGAGAAAAGTAAGAGAAAAGAATAATAAAACTTCATTTCTCTTGAATATTTCGATATGATAGATAAGACACTTGAACTAATTGCATAATAAGTTGTTCTTCTAAACTTCGTTCAACCAAGAATTCAATTTCGATTTCGAATTCAAGTCTCAACATTTCAAAATTTCTGAGATTAATTTACAAATACCATTGTGAATCATGGTATCTATGGGATTTGTCCTCTGTTCAGCAAGATCCACAGGCTCGCTTTCAGAGGTTCGCGATCGTTTCCTCTGTGGAACGTCCGATTTCTTTTTAAAAATTTCGTGTTGGTTGCCCTCATTCTCCGTGTTGTACTCGTCGCTATCCGCCTCCACTTTAATTTCGTTCACCGTGGCTATTTCCGCTGTGGAGGCCGTCAGCTTGTTCAGGAACGCTTGCAAGCTGGAATTCTCGGGACTTTCTCGACCATTTTCGTCGGAACGATCGTCCCCATTGTTTTTTCTCGCCTTTTCCATTAGTTTCCATACTTCGATGGACAGGTTCGATGGGCGACATTTGGCTGCCTGTTCTGGACCCAGAGTCTTCACCTAATTTTTATAGTTATTTGTTACATTTTTTTCATGGAAAGATGGGAAAATGTAGATTCTTCGAAGTAGGTATTTTAATTTTAATGTATACGAGAATGGAAGGATTTATAATTTTTCTTAACGCAGGTTATTACATTTTTAAATAGAAAATTTATATTTTTTACTGGGCACTTTGATATTAGTTTATACTTGGCATAAAATTAGATTAGAGAAGATACTCGTGTCTATTGTCATTTGCACAGACAAAATGGAAATGGATAAAAATTGAAGTTTCGTTGTGTGTTTAAATCAAACAATCTGTTTAGTAATTTGAATATATTTCCTATTGATATCGATTGGTGATGAAAATAAATGAATGCTATCCTTTAGTGTTTATTTTTAATCATTATCGGTAGACTCCAGATCATTTCCATGCGAATTAAAATAAAACGGTACAAACTAGAGATTTCAAAGATCTTTCAACTTTGTATAAACACATAAAATCCGCAAATCTACTTATGATATTTAAATAGTGGAAACAAACTTCTGCTTGGGAAGTTTATATAAAAATATAAAATCGTAAATGTAATAAAAATGTAAGTATTTAATGCAATGAAAAGATGACATTGTATCCGTACAAATTCGCAGTCTGTTTATGACTGAACAGAAATACCGGTAACCGGTGACACAGTCAGCTTAACGGATTAAATCGATAAAACGAAGGAAATTCGACAATCGATTAACCTTCTCAGCAAAGGTGTACATCTCCATCCTGGCTTGTCCTTTCATTCTCCTCCACTGTTCCCTTATTCTAGTGATGTCCCTGTCTGTGGAGAATCTCTCACGAAAAGCCGAGTAGATCTGCTGCCAAGCAAAGGTTTTCATAGCGGAAGCTGCCGCGTCGATCTTTTTGTTCTCGATCGCATTAACGTGCTCTTTGATCAACGAAAATAAAGCGTTCTTCTCCTCTGGCACCCAATTTTGCGTTCTTTCTCGTTTCTTCAACAACACGGTGGTCGAGTTGGAACACATCCTCGTTCAAATTTTAATTCTCTAATTACTTGCCGATGCTTTTAATGGGTAATTTTTAACGGATCGCTGATGTAATGGATGATTAAATTAATTTCAACTTAATTTTCAACGATAGACAGAGACGCACGCCTGTTAACTGCTCGCGTCGCGATTAGGTTTCGCTCGTTTACTTGTTTAAGCGCCGGTTTAACACAGTCAGCTGTTTAACCAACGTCGATGCGAATGTGTACAGTGTGATTGGAAAATTTTTGCCACGCGTCAAGTCTCTTTTATTTTTTTCTTTCTTTTTTCAAGATCCTCTTCTGTTGACTAAATTCTAATAGTGAGTCTTTTTAAATCCGGAATTCTTAAATCCAATTTTTCTTCGATTTTTAGACCAATCCGGAGGATTAGGTTCACGATTGTTAAATTTATTCCTTTTATTATTATGATACGATTTTCAAATTATTTATAAAGTGTTGGATTTCAATATTTTGCCTCTTTATTTATTTATATTTTTTACTTATTTATTTTTATATTTTTAATTCAAGTCATCCTTGTTTAGAATTACGTGCTTATCTTGATGTCCATCAATTAAATTAATTATAGAATTTGTCAGAACTAATTTGACACTAATACAATGATAAAAAAAAAGATCTACTTCCTTCATAGATAAATCCTATTTATTCCAGAGAGAATTCAGAATATGCTGATCTAGGACAAAGTAATCGGGATGACGTTGTAGATCAAAATGAGCTAATAAATATTTCGTTTTAAATAAAAGTTGCCTAACAGATCAAGTTTCAGTCACATTATAGACTTTCACATGGACGATAAACATTCTTTTTAAATAAAAGTCTCATCACATCGTAGATTTTAACCCTTTGATGGACAAGTTGTAATTTACATCTAAATATATACTCCTCTAACTGTTTCTGGTTTTAAAAAATCGGAAAAATCCCTAAGATATTAGAATCCTTATGATATTTACATATTTTTACTAATTACAAGTGTTAAAGAGTACAAATACAAGAGAAAAATAATGCAAACGAGTAATATGTAAATGTATTCTAACTCATGTTGCACATCTATTTTTCTATTGTTTTTCTAAAATAATACCCACGTTTATTTATACCCATATTATTTACTTGTGGAAAATGTAAACCGATTGGCTGGCAGGTGTCAACCACCAAATCACATGTAAGACATTTGGAGAAATAGCGAGAGAGGATTAATCGATGTTCAACTAGCCAACTGGAAGCTAGCAGAGAAGATGGTGGTACATTCTAGCAACTAACAGCAAAACGAGCATTCCTTTCCCTAACGTTGAGGAAACCGAAATTTCTTCGAATAATCGGTATTTCATTATCAGCGTTCCTAAGACTGGTACTTTAGTGCTTTTGCGACTCACGGCACTTGCACAAAATCTTCTGCCAGTAGAGGCAGAAGAACTTACAGCACCTTTACTATCCCTTTCTTGTAAAAGAAGATGACCAACAGCTCTTCCACAAAACTTCTTCTCTGAAAGATATTTCTCGCAACTACGTTCTTTTTTTTCTCCTCTTCTCTACTCCGATATTCGTACATACGGTTAAAACCGTACACGGCGAAGTAGAGGTGCCGTGGTTTTTTCGACCACACGTTCTGACCATAGATGTGTGTACAAAGGCCACAAGTAAACATCTTGTTAGCGCCCAATGATGTCGTTGGAATTACAAACAATCATCATGATAAATGAAGAAGTCTTCGACAAAGCGTACGAGTGAATTTTAGATTGCAAATTTCAATCTTCAATTTTAAATTATTAATTCGAAATCTTTAGGGAAGAATTAAAATGGCCAATAAACTCGAACGAGAGTTTACTACTCAAGTAATCCAAAAGAAATTACAAATACTGCATAAAGTTTGAAGTAGAGTCACATAAATACATACTATTCTCAAAAGAAGCAAAAGTATCCCTAAAAATAATTCTTACAACTCTTAAATCTCTCTCCTCCCCCCCCCCAAAAAAAATTCTCAAATCTCCAAAAATTTCCGAATGCACAATTTCCAAAGTGATGAAAAAAAGAAAAAAATAACAACAAGCAGAATAAACGAACAAGTGTTATCGCCTTGGGATAACAAATTGAAACATTAATTATGTATCTTGAACTCGCGTTACGCGGAGTTACGCGTCGCGATTGAACGTTCGGTTAAATCGGAACTAAGGTACGACTAAACGTCGGCCATTTTGGCAGGGTACTAGCTAGGCGCTCGATATTAACAAATCCTCGATTCCCAGCTGGGGTGAAAGCGGCGAGCGACGGATAGGGGATGGAGAAAGGGCAAGGGACGATCGAGGGTGAAAGGGAGAGGCATTCGACGTTCCGCGCAACGCAAACATTGTTTCGTTTCATTTCGCGATCCGTCGCGGAATCATATTGCGCCGATTCCAATATTTCCATCGTTTTATTGCGATTGCGGTCGTTTCTCGCCGCCGATTCCAGGATTCCTCTCCGTCACCGTCTCGTTTTTACTCCCCCGAGTTTTTCGATCGCACGTTCGTTGATTCCATCGATCCTCACAATTTA